CAATTCCAATTATTCTGCTATCATATTTAGTATTGATAGTATTTTCCTCCTCAGATGGTTGCTGCTGTTCTGTTTTTAGGCCCATTTCCCCCCCCTTTTCCCCTTCCCTCATTCCTGGAGTGTGGGTCTGTGGGTTCCCCTGCCCCATTAGTCATGGAACCAGGCTGATCCAGCCCATAAACCATTGACAGGACCTTAAAGATCACTTAGTTCCAATCCCCCTGCCATGGAGAGGGTTGCCAACCATTAGATCAGGCTGCCCAAGACTCACTTCATCCAACTGCCCTGAATGCCTCCAGGGAGAACGTATCCACATCCGCTGGGCAACCTGTTACAGTGCCAGTGTTAATCTGAATTTCCCCTCTTTTGGTCTACAACCATTCCCCCTTGTCTTGTCACTATCAGACCTTATACACAGTCAATCTCTCACCTGTTTGTAAACTTCCCTCATGCACTGGAAAGATACAATGGCCTTCCATGCTGCAAGCGCATACTGAAGCTCACGTCCAGCTTTTCGTCCGCCAGGATTCCCAAGTTCTTCTCATCAGGTTGCCCAGGCCCATGTCCAAATGGCTTCCAAATGTATCCAAAGAGGAAGAGTCCACAGCTTCTCTGGGCAACTTGTGTCTGTGCTGAAACATCCTCACAGTAAGTGTTTCCTAATGTTCAGACATAACCTCTTGTGCTTCCATTTGTGCACCTTCTCCAGGCAGTGGGCACCACTTGCACTCTTTCTTCAGATATTTGTATGATCCCCTTGAGCCTTCTCCAGGCTGAACAGTCCCAACTCTTCCAGTCTTTCTTCACAATAGAAAGCTTCAGTTCCCTAAACATCTTAGTGCTTCCTTTCTGGATTCTCTCCACTTGCTCCATATCTCCCATGCACTTTTAAGTCTGGAATTGAACAAAACACTTCAGGTGTGGCTGCAGAGAATTGTGTAAAAATGATGAAGCCAGGATTTTACCTGCATTGCACCTTGGTAAAAATACAATTGTTAGTCATAAATTGAAACAGAAATAAAGCTGATTAGGGGCCTGAAGCATCTCCTGTACAAGAAGAGGCTGGGAGACCTGAGACTGTTCAGTCTGGAGAAGGGAAGGGTGAGAAGGGATCTCATCACCTTTTATAAATAGCTAATGGGCAGGAGTCAAGTTGATGGGGGTGGACTCTTTTATACGGAGTGCAGCAATAGAACGAGGGGCAATGGGCAGAAACTAGAATGCAGGAAATTCCATACAAAGACAAGGATGAACTTCTTTATTGCAAGGGTGGCAGAGAACTGGAACAGGCTTCCCAGAGAAACTGTGAAGTCTTCTCTAGTGAAATTTAGGACCTGCCCAGATTCTTTCCTGTGCAACGTGCAGTACGGAACCTGCTTTAGCTGGGGAGTTGGACTAGATGATCACCAGAGGTTTCTTCCAGCATCTACTTTTGTGAAACAGGATGCTTTCCACATAGTTATATGGAAAAATATTTTTTGAGGCAAATAAAGTGATAGAAAAGGCTACCCAGAAAGGCTGTGCTGTCATTATGATAGAGTTATTTCAAGACCGAATGAGACCAAGGCACAGGTAACACAGTTTAACCTCAGACATGAGCTGCTTTAAGCAAAAATTTGTACAAGAATCTCCTGTGAAATGCACAAACCTTTCTCAAAGTAGTGTTGCATGCACTGTAGCTATTTCCTACACAGGAAATACATGGGCATGCATCATGATGCTTCTAAAGAAAAAAAAAATAATTTATACTGTTTATTTATATTTATACTTTAGAATTTGTTTTTAAATGCAAGGAAAATATTCCAGTGCTAATCAAACTTAATAAATTGATCAAATATGTTTAGAAAGATACAATGTAAGAAAGGATTATATGAGTTCAACTCTGGAAATAGGCAGGATGGAGGAGTAACTTGCATCTTTCTCTTCCCACACCAAATGTCTTATATGATGAATCTTTCTTTCCAGCTTTGCTGAAGAAAACCCAAGAAAATAGATAAGCTTGAACATGGAATTTAATGCAATTGTCTTTTTTTGTTGATGTTTTGCTACTGATATTTTTTAAAATTAATCTAGGGATAAATACAATAACCTGCAGTGTGAATCAACTTGGCATACAGAAGATAGGAAGTCCATTATATTTTAGAGAAGACAGAGGACTGTTTACTGTCCACAGTGGGCACAGGGCCAGCCACACACCAGTTGTTTTTCCCGACACTTAAGAAACTGTACATCTAATTCCCTTCATCTCCATGGAAACAAGAACACTCAAAAGGCAACCTCTGAATCTGACAAAGTCTTTGGTTTAACAGGGAATAATCCAGAACCACAGAATCACAGAATCTTAGGGATGGAAAGGGACCTCCAAAATTAAAAAAACCCTGCAAGGTTGCATCAAGAAGAGTGTCAGTCTCTTCTCACAGATGGTAAATAAAAGGAAATGAAGAAACAGTCTCAAGTTGTATCAGGGAAGGTTTAGATTGAATGTCAGGAAAAATTTCTTCAGAGAGGATGGTTAGACATTGGAACAGGATTCCTGGGGAGGTGATGGAGTCCCCATCCCTGATTTATTTGAGACGTGTGTGGATATGGCACTGTGGGACATGATTTTAGAGTGGGACATGGTAGGTCAGTTTGTTGGCTGTGCTTAATGATCTTGAAGATATTTTCCAACCTCCAACAGTTCTGTGTTTCTATGATCCTCCTTAGATGTCCACAGTGCTAGAAAAAGAGCACACTTAAGTTGTGACACAAGACATTCTTACTATGGAGGACTTTTTCCCCATCCACTGGGTGATCAAACAATGCCTGGAGTTGCTCTGAGAGGCTGTGAAATCTCCATCCTTGCAGAAATCCTTAATTTGTCCAGAGAAAGCATTGAGGAACCTTCAGCAACTGAACTGCTTTGAATTGACGTCTAGATGACACTCAGCAATTCCCAATTCTGTGCACATGGAAGCTTTGGCCACATGGAAAAGGCTAGATGCAAAGGACAGCAGAATGAGGTTTGTCATACTGGATGGTATACGTGATTTTATTGACTCATGTTGCTCTTCAGAACTCACAAAAAAGCAAACTGCATTTTTGTAAGTCTGTTGAACTTCATATTAATTCATTTTTCTTTAAGCTCCTGCAAACTCAGAAGTACTTGCTAATGCTCCATCGCATTTTTGGTTGTGATTTAAAAAAAGAAAGAAAAGAAAAAAAAAAAAAAGAAAGAAAACAACAAAGTAAAACCTACCAGCTGATTTCAAAGTCTAGCATGCAGTGTCTGTATATGTGGATTTCCTGTCCCCTGCCCACTGCCCCAGTGAAATTTCACCAAGAGTCAGCCCCACAGACTAATTATTAGCAAAGGATTTCTCAAATTAATCACCCTCTTAAGAGGCTTCTGGGACCATAATTGGTGTTTACTGCAGGGGCTTTTGAAATGTAAATTGCTTACGCAAATGTCAGAAAGCCCCAAATTCCATTTGGATTCATTTGTAAGTATTTAAACATCAAAGTCACTCTGTCCCAGAAAGAAAATGCAAAGTCTTTTCAAAATACTGGTTTATTTTTCGCACAAACCTTCATAGAACTATTTTGTCTCATACTTGTTGGTACTCACAAGCAGCAGTCGGATGTCCTTCTGACCATTTGTCTGTAGATGAATAAATTGTAAGATATGCTTCTTTTGTTTCCAAAACTATCTCAAGAAGTCACTCAAATCTATGAAGGTGACAGCTTTGGATATAACTTTCCGTCATTCAAAATGGATGATCCACAGTAAATTATACAGCTTGTTCTTTTCTTGGACGTGACTATCAGTGTTTTTCATCTATGGCTTCTCTGCAATATAGCAGAGGTCTCACAGCCCTATTTGTCGTAAAAAAACCACTGGTGAAGCCCATTAAAAATATTCTCATGGACCACATTTTCAGAATTGAAGTGTCTGAACTTACCATAACGTAGAGTCAAAAGGAATGGTAATGGCTCCCAAAAATATCATGTTATTTTTATCCAGACCCCTATGTGAAGATATTGCATTACTTCTTAATACCTGTTAGATAAAGGTAACTATTCCAGACTGTGAGCTCTGATGACAACTGGATGAATTAATTATGATATGGGTGGCATGTTCAAAGCTCAAACATGATGATTCAGTTATTTAGACTTTGATTTTTCCAGCTTATTTTTCTTTTAAACATTAAAAAAGGGCACCTGTGAAGATCAATATGCATAGTAGAGATTCATAAAATTTTGTAAACACATGAAATTTTTATTTTTAACAGTTGTGACACAACTACAGTGTCTCTGCAAGTCAAAACAGCATATTGATGGCAAAAAATACATATCTTTATCAGATTTCAGCATGTGGAGGGTGGTGGTTTTAGAGTAGTTTTGCTTGTTTGTTTGCTTTTAACAGCTTCAGCAGATAGTTAAATGGGGGGAAAAAAAAGAGGAATATGATTTCAAAACACTGTTTATCATAAAATTCAGTTATTCAAATACTGAATGAGAAGGGTCTCTTTTAGTCATGTCCAAGCAACAGATACCAAACTCACTAGCTAAAACCAGCAAGTATTTCAAGAGTCATTACAAAAGTCAGGTCAGAGACCAGACAAGAAAAGAATACAAAACATAATCCTGCACATGGATAAGAGCCTAAGGTTCTAACTACAATTATTAGTCCTAGTTAGTATTGCTAATTTTCCTACTGAAATAAATGGCCACAGATTTATCAAACTCAGTCCACCTGCAATATTTTACATTGGAAGAATGTTTGACCTATATACATATGTGTTTCTTCAAATTCATTTTGGCCTGCTAAATACATAATTTTCCTTTATTTTCCTGCCAGCCAAATCAGCTCCTGCTGCTTGCTGTCTTACCATTCGTCCGTCTTCCTCCTTTCTTAAAATCATCCCTATTTGTAATCTGTATTTACCTTCTTACTGGGGTGCAGAGCAGGTAGATTAGCATGATTCCAGTCAGATAACTTCTGGGATACATCTCTTTTGGAGAGAAGATTAAAAAGGATGAAGTAGAGCTGGTAAGAGATTTTTTAAAAAAAAGGAAAAGACTGTCATTGCTCAGCACGGATGTAAGGAGAGTAGAAAGGTTAATACACTCACAGAACTGTTGCTAGGACAAGCTTAAATTAAACATGTCCTTTGAATGATATCTAGCATTAAGATCCAGTGGATAGTATCTTAAATTGCCTCGGTCTTGCTGTTTTTCTTATCTCTCCTTTTTTTCTTTCAGTAAGTTCTTGCTCCTGTCAAAGGTACCTGACAAAAAGCTTTAACTCCAAAGATTTCAGGAAATAGCTTATTTCACTTTCTCCCTGTCCCCTCACTACTCCTCCCCCTCACACACACATACATTTTTCTGCTCACATCTTGACTGCAAACTGCCAGTTTCCCCTCAAAATCATGCAGTCAGAGTTCTTCATAAAAAAAAAAGGAAAATACTGAGAAGTGGCTGGAGCATTCAGAAGCAAGACAGCTCACGAGGCAAAGTGAGCAAAACCCTCAGGCTCTGGTTAGAGATGGTACATGCTCATCTAACCATTTATATTGAGCCACATGGAAAACCTACTATCTGTAGTGTTTTCTGTAATGGGGAAACATTGCACAGTATTTATACCAGTATGCTGCACTGCTGGAGGACAGGAATATCCAGTCTTCAGATTGCTTTACAAATGAGGAGAACTATACAAGGGTAACAGCAAATTTGCACAGTAGGTCTCTTTCCTCTTCTTCTTCTTTCATGATCGCATAGAGGTAAATATGTAAAAAATGCCCCAAACTTGCCAACAAAATAGGACATGTATTCCTAGGTGCAAAAAAACTGAATGATGTTTTCATTTATTCCTATGCAGTGCCAAAGTGGTGAAGCTTATTATGTAGTTTATTGATCCAAGTTACCAATTTGTATCAGTTTAGACTCAGGTGTCAGTAGGCAATTTATCGTGGTCACAGTTAAAGACACAGAATTATAGAATCATAAAAAAGTCCAACCACAACCTAACCATACTACCCTAACTCTAATAACCCACCCTGAGCACCACACTGAGATGGTTGTTAAACACATCCAGGGATGGTGGCTCAACCACCTTCCTGGGGAGTCTATTCCAGTGCTTAACAACCCTTTCTGTAAAGCATTTTTTTCCTGAAATCCAGCCTGAACCTCCCGTGGCACATCTTCAGGCCATTTCTGCTTATCCCATCATCTGATGTATTTGAAAAAGTGTTTTGATGTCATTAGTAGATTGGCAGGTGCCAATATCATCTATGAATTTGGCCTCATAAAGGCATTAAATCATGCAAGAATACTAAGATACTGACAAGTACACAGGGATGTTGGTATGCTTATGTATACATAGTCAATTGCCATCTGTGTTTCCTCACATCTTAAAAAGGAGAGACCATCATACACTCAGCTGAAAATCTCCTGTCGTAGTCCTTATTTGCAGCATATGCACTTGCATTGTACCTACTGCATTTGAACATTTCTAATTTTATTAAATTTGAATCCATATTTAAGAAGAATCAGGCAGGACCTACCCTTGGCAAAGCCATGCTGGTTGTCTCCTGTGTCACATCCCTGTCTTGTATGTGCCTTAGCATTGATTCATCTGCTCCATGATCTTCACCAGCGCAGAGGTGAAGCTAAGAGCTCAGTAGTTCTCTGGGTCATCCTTTCTATCCTTTTCAAAAATGAACACAATATTGCATTTTTCCAGTTACCAGGGACTTTGCTTGACAACCATGACTTCTCAAGTATTATCAAGAGTGGCCTGGCAACTACATTAGCCAGTTTCCTCAGCACTTTGAGATGCACCCCATTGAATTCCATAGACTTAAGGATGCTCAGGTAACTCAGGTGGTCATGAACCTGATCTTCACTTAGAATGGGAGGGGTATTGCTCCCCTACCCTCCGAACCATCCACTCATGGGTTATGTCTGGAGCAGTCAATAGTGAAGACTGAGGCAAAAAAGTTGTGGAGTCCCTCAGCCTTTCGTGTATCTATAGCAGCTTTTTCTTTTTTTGCACCCGTTGCCAAGTCCATTTCTAGTTGGGCCTAGGCCTTCCTGACCCCATCCATGTACAGCCTAGCAGCACACTATACATCTGGATTACCTCTTCCTGCTTCTAGTGCCTGATGAAGTCTAATTTCTGGGTTCTGAATGGAAGCATCCATCTCTAATTCAAGAAAATTGCCACACTTACTTGAGATAATTAAATATTATCTGCATGTATGAGTAATTAATAGATGTCTAAGTCACGAAGAGCAACAAATCCATCTTCATTTAAATGTAGAAGCAGAAAAGATTTATATAGAAACTGATTGATGCAATGAAGACTTTCTTATTATTACTATTTTCTGTCCTGAAGAGTGATTGCTTAGAAGCTCTGTTTTCATTGAATCAACAGTAAAAAAAGCCCTGGAGTTCAACTTTGATAATGGATACCGACAGTGCATACCAAGCATCCTGAAAATTCCATTCTTAGGTTTCTTCCAGGACATTTGCAAACCACCGCACTGACGTTTTTCATACGCAATAGCTCAGTTATATGAGATTCTATATTCAAACTACTTATGGTTTTAGGACAGATATAAGTATCCTAGGTAGACTGATAGGAAACACACCTTAGTGAGGTTATGGTTCAAATTAATGCAGCAGGCAAGCTTTCTCCACTTCAGACTGATTACATTTTAAATGAGGCTATAGTGCATAAAGATTAATATTTCACTATAATTATTTGTTCCAAATAAATATAGAATGATTAAGCGGCATTTTCCTCTATGCAGCTAAATCCTTTTTTTTTTTTTTTGGTTTACAATAAAATTAATTAAGGGAAGTTTGACTTGCTTATCTTGCAGTTTTAACTGCTTTTCTTTTTGAATTAGTAATTGAAAAATCTGATTTCTCCAGTATAGTTTTACTGTATAGAAAACTGGCTGTAATATGTTAATTAAAAAGGAAAAAAGTGATGCTTCCCACAAACATTAAGAAAAAAAAGAGAAGAGTATTAAGATTTATAATAGCTCTTTTTGACTCAGCCATCAAATTACTTTTGACAATACTTTCTCAATACGTTTGATTTACCAAATAGGATGATACAATCATCAAGGTTGGAAGAGACCTGTATCGAGTCCAACCATCAATACATCACCATCCTGTCCACAATACACCAGATGCAGCAGCAGGGAAAAAAAAAAAAAAAGCAAAAAAAAAAAAAAAGCAATTTACATCTCCAGCATTTTATACCACCATTAATTAAAATTAGAGTAATATGAAAAGTGTTTATAAAACATTTTTCTTATTATTTTTCTTATAGAAGACAATTACACACAGATTAAGGTATCCTCTACATTTTAAAGGAAAATACTTTCGTACACATGATTAATTATTTTTGTGCCTAGAAAGGAAACACAGATAAAAATCTAAACACTTCTAAGAGATAAGCTAGAAGTTATAAGCACATGTTATAAGACAGAAAAGAGAGATCAGGTTGAGCAGTGGCAGAGGTTGGAGGAGGCACACGTGCTATTTGTTGGGATGTGCTTGGGCAACTGCCTGTCTCAACCCAGGTGATGGTGTGGCTGTTCTCCAACCACCTGCATAACCTGTGAGCACAGAGAAACCTGTGGGAGCACCCCATATTGCCAGCTTTACCTTGAGATTATCAAGGCTGCTCTAAAATACTCAGTTATCCCATCCAAAGTGGATACTGCAAGCACACTGTAGGCTGGTGGTATCTTTCATTGATACTAGCATAATCTAATGCCATAGCAATGCAATCTGTGTGCAATCACTCCCAGTAGAGCATAGCTCTCTGACCTGCTGCTATATTTTAGCACTGAGCAGCAAGATTAGGCTCACACTATTTTCTTGCTTCCTTCAGTTGCAGTCGCTGACTGGCTTTTGAAGAACTGTCAGAGCCTTGGCTTTTCTGAGAGATCACCACTTGTGACCGCTCACAACGCAAAGCAACAAAATGGCACTTTAACAGGATAACTTTTACAGCTGAGAAGTTCCAACGTGCTCTGGAATTCTTTTCTCTTGGATATTCATTATCTTCTGGCTGGTATTTTTAAACCTGCCTATGGGAGCTGGATGCCCAATTCCCATTAAAATTAATGTAAATTAATGGAAAATGAGTAACCAAATTAATTAATTGAATTAAAATTAATGAGAGCTGGGCATCCATATCCTTAAGGTAAGTTTTTAAAGCTTCAGCTAGTGAATTTTAGGGTAATGCAGGGATGGATAGACATAAATATAGGCTTTGGATATGCACAGACCTGCAGGAAATACGGGAAGGAATTTCTGCCAGATCTCTGTAGAAAGAAAGAACTCAGCTCTTTCAATGTATGACTGAAGCTTCTGCAAAGACAGATAGATGTTAATAAATGGCAATGTTAAAAAAATCCTGTATATCTGTATCCTCATCCTGGGCAAGGACTGATTGTAATTTAGCTTAATTCCAGATAATAAGAGGTATCAGAATGAGATTGAGATATAGTTTGATTTTTAAAGAGGATATGTCATAATGTACTGAAATATTTATTATTTAGAGCTTCCCACAGTTAGCTTCAGTAACTGTTTCTTACTTTAACCTTCATTATATTTCCAGAATATATAGATTATTCCAATCATTCCAATGTATTTAAAGCTGCCAATACTCTTCACCACCACCATCACTATAGCTCTTCTGCTCTAAAAAAAAAAATCAAACAAAAAAAAACAAAAATAAGACCAAACAAACAAACAAAACAAACCCCAAACAGTCACATTTATAGACCAGCAAAAAGACAGCTGAGAATAAAATTCATGGTTTCATGTTAGTATCAAAAGTAGAATTTGGGTCTCCCCAGAACAAGTACTTTTTGCTGACAGTTGAAATCACAGAAACTGCAAAATATCCATCAATATCTTTGTTTTCCAGTATTCAGAGTGGCCTTCCATCTACCAATAGCTTTTCAACTGAATTTTTAACCACATCAATTTTGTTTCTTTCAGTAGTGCTGAGCTATGTATGGAATTTGTTCTGTATATTCAGCAGCCTCACTCCCACAGTCACCTCACTGTTATAATGAATTCATTTGTAAAAGAAAAGTTGTCACATTTCAAGGAACTTTTGCTGCTGTCACTGACACAACTGAATTCTCTTGTCACGTGAAAGCATAGTAAACATAAAAAATGTATGCACTATTTCATTAAATAACAGAGCTTTCTTAAACTAATTATGTAGAGTAACTACTTGGTATTTAAGTAAGTAAAGTAGTTGGATTAACATATATTTGATGTCTTGTAGTTGGAAATTCCTCAATAGTTTTTTCAGGCTTTCAGAGAATAAAGTTTTTCATGTGATTCAGATATGGAAAAAAGCACCTTATATAAAAAAGAAAGCTTTCAGATTATGTCCTGTATAGAGGACTATTTTTATGCTATCATTTTAGAAAAGTAACTTTAAATGGGCTGTTTGGATCACCCTTCTGTTCCTCATACTCCAGTGTTCTATGAAACGTTAGGCTAGCAGAGTGTAATAAAGCCAGTACTAGTTACAGATTCCTGCAGAGTATGATGTACTCATGTTAAAAATGTAAGATTTTTTTTCTGGCTGAAATAATTGTATGGTATTCAATTTGTGATAATATCCCCACATTCAAATGCTGTTAGCTTCCCTTTAAACCTTTCTATCCTAGAAGATGAAAAACAGCCACCATCATTTAGCAGATTAAAAAAGTTTGTCTAGTTAGAACTTCAAGATTTCACACACACCTTACAAAAAAGTCTGTTATTGTTACATGACCAAAAAGCATGCATTAGTCAAGCTGCTTCAGCCAGCCCACAGCAGGTCCCAAAACCTTGGATGTGGCTTCAACAAGAGCCCCATAGCAGAAAACAGTTCCTCAAGGGACTCACAGCAAATGTATTATACAGTCAGATCCCAGAACATTATTTATTCTTGTAAAGAACCAGGAAATAAAGCACAAAAGTACAGAAGGTGCAGAATACCCTGGAAGCTCTGGACTCCTGACACCTGGTGAGTGTTAGAAGCTCCTGTCCCTCAGGTAGCACATGGTACTGCTGCATGCACCAACAGTCCCTGCTAACAGTGATTCTGAATAGAATGTACCCTGCTGAGACTTAGCACTGAAATAGATCACTGACTTGATTTTTTAAATTATTTTCTGTGGTCAACATTCAAGCAAGAATAGGCCAACATATTATCCCACCAGGTAAAGCCAATTGAAGTACTATCTGCAAATTCAATATCTGGACCACTTACCTATTTTGACTTTCATCCTTCAAAAAGGTATTTCATTTTGCAATTGTGATATGTGATATTAGCATTTGCTTTTAAAGAGCAACACTGAGGCAATAGCATAATGCAAATTAGCCTGTTGGTATTCTTCATCCCATTGTGTTCACATACAAATAACTGCTGTTGGAAAAACAAGAGGTTAACAAAGTTATGAATGTTCAGGAAAAAAGACAGCAAAGTCAAAAAGGTCATTTGTTGATCCACGCCCTGTAATACACACCAAGATTTGATGAGGCTGTGTGCCCATTACCTGGAGATTTTCAGAACTTACTTTTTCCTTGTGCTGCGTGCTTTATTATGTTATTCTTTCTGATTTACCACCACAGACATCTAAACAGAAAGCATTGTTTTACTTGAAGGATTTACATAGAATGCTGAAAATGTTAAGTGTAATTGAATAAAACTGCTGCTAATTAAAAAAATAAACAACTCCAGTGTTTTATCTAGGAATATGCACAGATGCAAAAGTTGAAAGAAAATCAGATTGTTAAAGTTTTGAAAGATAATAACTGAGAATATAAGGTGAAATTCCTACTGCACTCCCTGTAATTAGTGTCCAAGGATCTACTTGAGATTTCTGCTTCCTCTAAGTAAGGCAGCAGCAATTCAGAACAAGTGCAGAACCGGTTACCTATTTCTGACTAGTTTATTCTCAGGTTGATTACATTATGATGGAAAAAAAAAATGCATTGGCACTTTTGGCTTTTTCTAGCACTGTAATTACTACACAACTAGTAAGTTTTATGGTCATTCTTAAATGACAACTTTCAAAATACTTGTGCATTCCTGAACAAATTTTTCAAGAGAATATAGAATATGTACGGAAGCAGATAGAGCAGATAAAGTCCCTAGTGATAGGCTGCTAGAAAATAAGAATGCCCTGATGAGCTCCCACATATATCTCAGTTTTAGTAAGAAAAAGTCAAAAAGCCTGATTTTTTTTAAAGACTACCTGAGCAGGAAGGAAGTGCATATACCCACAGACTACAGATTCTGAATAATTTCTGGCAAATAGAAATATTTGTTTCAGAAGAAGACTGAAAGTTCTTAGTTTAAACCTTACATCTTAAAACATTTCAATGAACAACTGTGTCAAAGCTTTGTTGGCCAGCTCTGTAATAAACAGAGCAATGTGGAGACATCTTGTTTCCTGGGTAGATTTTAGCTAGATTTTAATTCTAATTTTTAATTGAATTTAATGTCAAGCCTGTTTGAATACTCTAGTGAGCCCTTTACAGCAGACACCCTAATAGATGAGAAGACTCTAGTGGAGGTAGCTGCCATTTTGAAACTCCTGCACCGCATGTGATCCCCAAGTACCTCATGGCAAGAAGTGCCACTATTGTGCCTTCACCATATCTCCACCCCACACACATCACCCTGGCTATCCATGTAGTTTCTTCCATAATCACTGCCTCCTTATAGGAGCTTTATAGGCAGAAAAAATGCAAGGAGTCAGGAATGCCTCCTTACTGATTTCCAGTGGTGAGCTGCCAGTACACAACAGTATTCTGCACAATGGTAACCTTGCTTAGTTGCAGAAACGCTACATAATGAGAACTGTGACTGCCACCAAAGATTTGATTGTGTACTGAAACTGAACAGCTGTGTTCTGAGGTAGCTTTAAGCTGTTGCAGATAATATGCATAATACATGTTAGTCCCGCACACTACCTGGCTATACTGACAAGAGTTTAACGTATGGTTTTGAGCAGAGGGGAAAACTACATTACCAACCAATTTATGTCAGCAGTACACTGAGTACCTGGGAGGCAGCAGCCTGGCTAGTTTGTACAACAACAGCACCTCCTGGGAAAGCTGAAGTTCAATTTCTACTGATGTAAAAGTATTCCAGTTCAGCACATCTTTACAGATAACTCTAGCATTCATTGAGCCACTACATGCCTGCCACAAACCCCTGGAGACCTTTATTTACTACAGTATTATTCTTCCTGGAGCTAAGATAATTGGTACAACCCAATTTATAGTCTCTCTGACAATAGTAAGACATGTAGAGGTGTTATATTGGACCTTTGACATGACTTATCTGTAAACCATGTCTGTTGTTGTAAAAAGGTTAAAACAAAGCCCAATCTACATTTTCCCTAGAGAATTTTATGCTACTTTACAAATCAAAGACCTGTACCGTATTTCACCCTTGCTGCAAAAAAAAAGTGATTTATTAAATGCATGTGCTGTTTAAATATTTCTTACTAGCTGTTTCAGACATTTGTGTTGATTTTCCGCTAGCAAAAAGTTAGTCACTGTCCATGGGAAACCCTTGCAAAATCATTTTATTGACCATCTTAGAAAGCCTCTTGTCATTGCTTGCATGCTGATTGTCTAGTCCTGGGTAGCTTCAATTCAATCTGGACAAGGAGACATATTCATGTTTTGTTGAAAGTGGGAGTTGATGAAGGGAAGGGAAGGGAAGGGAAGGGAAGGGAAGGGAAGGGAAGGGAAGGGAAGGGAAGGGAAGGGAAGGGAAGGGAAGGGAAGGGAAGGGAAGGGAAGGGAAGGGAAGGGAAGGGAAGGGAAGGGAAGGGAAGGGAAGGGAAGGGAAGGGAAGGGAAGGGAAGGGAAGGGAAGGGAAGGGAAGGGAAGGGAAGGGAAGGGAAGGGAAGGGAAGGGAAGGGAAGGGAAGGGAAGGGAAGGGAAGGGAAGGGAAGGGAAGGGAAGGGAAGGGAAGGGAAGGGAAGGGAAGGGAAGGGAAGGGAAGGGAAGGGAAGGGAAGGGAAGGGAAGGGAAGGGAAGGGAAGGGAAGGGAAGGGACTGTCCGCAAAAAGTACTCGTTTTGGGGAGACCCAAATTCTACTTTTGATACTAACATGAAACCATGGATTTTATTCTCAGCTGTCTTTTTGCTGGTCTATAAATGTGTCTGTTTGGGGTTTGTTTTGTTTGTTTGTTTGGTCTTTGGCCACAAAGGTGATCAGAAGGCTGGAGCAACCTTCTCATGAAGACAGGCTAAGGAAACTGGGGCCGCTTAGCTTGGAGAAGAGAAGGCTCTGAGGAGATCATCAGCTTCGCTGTCCTTCTTAAATCCTAGGACTCATAAAATGCCAGCCAGAGAAATTGAACAACTTGCCCAAGGTCACAGAAGAAACTAGGAAATTATCTGAGTCACACTCCAATGGTTTAGACATCCACCCTCAGTAGACCTCATTAATAAAAACAGGCTGTATTTTATTAATAGAAATTAATTTTGTCCAGACTGGAGATGAGTATGAGAGGCATATAATACAAATGTTACAAAACGTTCTCTATGTCATTTCTAATCCTTAACTATAATATATATTTCTACGTCTGTGATACTATGATAAGTGAAAGGTATCACACATGCATCATTGCAAGACAAAAATGAAATAAGTATGTTAATAGACATTCAAACACAAATAAGGTTTCATGTCTGTTTGGAGCGCACATTAGAATTGATCAGAATTCCATAGTGTGAAATGAATTGGGTGTTGTTGTTTGCCATGGCAGGAGCATTCCTGGAGGCTGTTTGTTGTGTCTTCGTAAGGAGTTTATGTTAACATGATCCATGGTATGACACATGGAAATCACGTAGCATCATTTTACATAGTTTGAAAGTTGTATTTCAAAGCATCAGGATGTATGCCAATAAACCGAACAGGACACAAAATATGTGTTCGTTTGACCTCTGGATTCTGTCAAGCTTTTTTTTTTTGTTTGTTTGTTTTTTGCAGAGTTTCAGTACATAGGAGACGAAAGAAAAAATAATAATAATAATTAAAAAAAAAACAAACCAAAAAACTGAAACCAAAAACCAAAGATAGAGATGGTGAGAATGCAGAATTTGTTTTGTTGCTAAAAGTATTTTTTTAGAGGTTGTTTTTTGAAAAACATTAATGTCCTAGCTTTCAGTGTGTCCAGATAACATATTGGAGAGCTATATTCAATCTATACTCAATATATTTCAATTCAGCTCATCAGTCTCTGCTTTTGTCTTTTGTATAGGTCTTGTGTAGCCTCACTTAGAGACTGTCTTCTGTTTAATACTCAGTCGCTATAGGTGTTAGGACCTTAACAAGATCTTTAGACCTCAGCTTTTACTGACAACAGTTTATAAATTGTACTTATACAAACCATCAGCAACAGTGAAATGTGATCTCTTTCTGGAAAGATGATAAGGAGCATCTCTCTGTGGTTCTTATTCTATCATCCATGGCTTTCCTACTCAGCAAATAACCGTTCTGTAGCAATTAATGCAGAAATTAATACGGCCGTAAAGGTCAGTCTACTTTAGTCTATAGCTTCTTGATTTCCCTTATGGATTTCCTTTACTTTGCTTTATTAGCTGACAACAAACCTTACCAGATTTAAAACTGTTGTCAATCACTATATGATGAGCATTCAGAAACAGAGTTAACTACCAAAGCAGATGCCGATTTCCATGTAAACAACTTGCTTATTCTCTATCAATAGAGACTGTCTGGAAATACTGACATGAAAACTGAGATTTCAGATTTATGTATCTGTGAAAGTTAAAAGCATCTATCTTGGTCCAAAACGTCGTAATTCTATGGATTTTCCTTCCTTCTCCCCATCATTACAGCAAAATCCAAGAATGGCTAGTAACCCCCTGGCCATGGATTTTGCTTGAGGTGTGCCTACAACTGGCATGAGACATCCATAAATACTACAGAATGAAGTTTGTTCTAAACATTCTACAAAGTCAAATTATGCTAAACTGGAAAATCCAAAACAAGCAAAACCAAAGGATCAAGTGAGCAACTGCATACGTTAGAGTCTTCCAAGACTGCCACTCTACAGTCATTAGATGGAAGCTTCTATTTCCAAGGAGTCTATGACTATGATGATGTAAATTGGTTTCCATCACAACCACACTTCCTGAACAAAATTGATAGGCAGCTAACTGCAATTAATTACTTATCACAAAGTTTACAGAACTTTTTGAAGTTACAGAAGAAAGAGAAGAAAAATACTGCTGAAAACAAATTATTCTTCCCATAATTTCTTGGCCCCACAATTCAGTTTCTTGAGTAGTATCTACACATTGTAAAACTATAAACATTGATACTTTTAATAGCTTGGAAAATTCTCAAACATTGAGACTCTCACATAGATGAAAATGTGAAGAAATAAGGCATATGCCTCCCCTACCTGATTTAAACATCATAATACAATGTTTATTCCCAAACCCCTCAAACCAAAAGAAAATTCTAATTTCCTAATACCCATTTCAAAGACCTGTAAACCCCTCTGCCCTTCCACAACCATAATCATGGCCATGTGCCTATACACACTATGCCTCATGTCTGTACACTGAGTTCATAACACATATAAATAGTAACAAAATAGTATCAGAAAACAAATCTGCCAGCTTTAGTTTAAATGTATTAATATATTAAATGTATTAATACAAAGCCTTACGTATTTTTTCAGTAGCAAGAAAAAAAAAAAAATTTTAAGTTTATGCACTCTATGGCACTAACTGCGCCCCATAACTGTTTTCAAATATCATTATTTTAGTCCTGAAGGAATTCATGTTTCGAAGTGATGCACTGATTTTCATTTCTACCTCTGTAGAGAGGTTTGTTCAGTAGCAGTAGGGAGGGTGAAGAAAGAGGCTTGGTTATACTGACAAAATAAATTCAGGCTGTTTAATCTCTTAGGCATGAACTATTCTTATTTCTTCTCCTAAGAAGACTTTAGCACATTATAATA